TACCTAGGGGTCTGCCCAGTGCCCTGAAGGCCATGGTGGGGTGTATTCTCTGTCTTAGGGCCGGGCGTCAGAGGGATACCAGATGATTACAGTAGCCCAGCCTAACATGGTGCCCCCGGAGAGAGACTTACGTTTAGGTGAGCCGGTGGTGGGTGTGGAGAACCAGCGTCGGAGAAAATGGACGAGGGCGAAGCATCAGCAGCGGGAACCACCAAGAGAGTGAAGGAGGTCCGAGAAGGAGTCCCCTCGGGTAAGGGGTGAGCTCCTACCGGGTTTCAGCACCAATGAAAGGACGACAGGACCCGAGCTGACAGTTCACCGGAGAAGTCCCGCTTTATTCGGGGGAGAAGCATACATTTATATAGAGCCGGGTTAGTACACGGGGCGGTAGTTGATTGGCCAGGGGCGGGTAATGATTTCTGATAGGCTGCACCTTGGCGCCAGCGAGATTGTTAGGACCCGGAAGAGAAAAGCGCCATGTTTTAGGGAGTGCCTCCTTTGGGGTCTTCTATGGGGCCTTACACAAGCTATAACCCAATTAGCTACTGGTGTCTCGACTCTTTAAGATGTACACAATATTAACTTGATCTTCTATTTCCCACTTTAGAGAACAGTCAAATGCCCTATCCAAAATTTCTGTGAAGACTTGGGGAGTTGCCATTTTAAATTCCCCTCTAGCTTCAACTTCCTGCCACTCCTAAATCCTGTATCTCCATTCTGATGACATGGGCTCTATTTTATCTACCCCAGTATCAATCTAAATGCAAAACTCAATTCCTTCCCTGTATGTTCCACACATATACCATGAAAAAAAATCAAAACCCACCAAGGCCTCTATGTATGTAGAAGGCTTTATTGAAGATTTAGTGCGGAGTTTACTTACATCATAGAAACATAAAGAACACATTGGCTGAACATACCTATTCAATATTCTTAAATAATTTTTAGCACTCTTCAAGCACTTCATTGTTAACAGGCTATGTTTTCTTTCCTTTATCTTGTCTCTACTTGCCCCTCAAATTCTTTTTATTTCCAATGCACAGAAAATTACCTCTTTCATTTTCTTAACTCCAGCTAACTGAAACAGAATATTGAGGTTTTGAGGATATGGTCATTTCTTTCTCAACTGGATTCCCTAGATAGCTTCTAAATGGTGTGACTCCATCTTTTCCTTCCCACTCCTACCTCCTTTATCCAGAGTGATCTTTCAATACAAATCTGACCAATGCCCTAAGGGCCAACTAGCCCTTCATAAGAGACCTAACTCTTAGAACTTTACACATCTGCTATATTGGTTTGGATCTTATACCTGGAAAATCTTACCCCTCCTCTTTATCGGGTTTAAATCTATTCAACTCTCATTTTAGTTTAAACATCTCTTCCTCCAAGGAAACTGTTTTGACTCCTTCTGGCCTTTTAATTAGATACCCCTACCACATGTTCCCTAATAAACACCACACTTCTCCTATTGTAGCATTTTTCTCAAGACCGGCCGATTGATGTCTTCCCATGTATCTTAGGTGAGGGCAGAGATCGTGTTTGTCTCGCTCAATATTGTATCCTTATCATCTGGTTCGCAGGGGACTTTGTAGTTTTGTTTTGTTTTAAATAAATGAAATAGTAATGTTGTACATGTCCCAGCCAGGTTCGCTCCTTTTGTTCCTCATTTTCTCTTTCTCTGTCTATTCATTCTATTTCCCTCGTCTCTTCCTCACGTTAGCAGTCTGATGTCATTTCCACATTCAGTGCTCAGGCCCTACTTCTCTTCTTTAAAGAAAGGACTATCTCCCCTCCTGGGGACTTTAAAGAAAGGACTATCTCCTTACCCCAAACCCTTGAGATGTACAAGAGCCTACCTTTCACGCCAAATGAGTAAAGTTAAAAAAACAAACAAAAAAAAACTGCGAATGCATTCCCATTATCTTTTTCCTCAAAAGAAGGTAACTAGACAAACCAATAGAACACTTAAGATTAAAGCAAGACAGACGGCAACCGCTCCGCAAACTTTCTCAAACCCAAGGACAACACTTCCTTTTCCCTTCCCCGGAAATGGAAGGAGGAAGAGAAAGGCCCAGAACACAGCGCTCAGGAATTCTTTTTCCTCAGGTCTCTTGCTGGGCGGGGCCTACTGGCTGGTGCCGAATGGCCGGCAGAGCCGTCGCTCCTGGCCGACCCCTCTTCCTATTGGCTGTCCAGGGCACCGCCCCCTGGGCGGGCGGGAGATTCGGTGTACCGCACGCAGGCCTCCCATCCCCCAGCCGGCCTCCGGGTCTGCCTCACTCGGCCCTTGTTGAGAGCCGTTTACTAGGACTTGGCCTCTCGCGCTGGGGCCTAAGCCTCCTTCCCTGCTGCGACGACTCAGCCGGGCAGCGTCCGGTAGGCTCCAGGCGGCCAGAGCCACGCTAGGCGGAGACCTAGCGGTGCGTTGCGGGGCGTCAGGGCACCCTGCCTCCCTTTTCTGCTTAGCTCGGGGCTTTTGAGGTGAGTCCAGGTGCGCTGAGCCCTGCGGCCGAGCTGGGGCGCCCTCGTCCCGAGTCGCCCAGGGCTTCCCCTCGACACCCGGGGCAAGGTCGCTGCGCCTCCCTCTTGCCCTCCACAGGCTGCCCCTGGGCCAAGAATCCCCCGCTAGTGGAGCGCAGCCAACTGGTCAGAGGCTGGAGGCGCAGGCCGAAGTCCGCAAATACTTTTTGGGGTGACAGGCTCGCTTAGGGAAGACCGTTCGTCAGTCTGTCCAGCAGTGGCAGGCCTTCTGTGCAAAGGATGCCTGATACGAACATGCCTGTTTCCCGGCTTACGGAGACCTCTGTCTGGGAAGAGAAAACTGTAAAAATCTGTAACGAAAGTAGTAAAGTGCCCTGTGAAAGGAGCAGGTACAAGGACGGATGAGGGGGTCCTGTTTCCCGGCTTACGGAGACCTCTGTCTGGGAAGAGAAAACTGTAAACATCTGTAACGAAAGTAGTAAAGTGCCCTGTGAAAGGAGCAGGTACAAGGACGGATGAGGGGGATGAGATCACGTCCCCAAACTACCACTGTAGCTAGAATCTTTGACGTCATCCCAGCCTGGAAGCACCAAATGAGTCCGGTTACTAACTGAATAGTCACCTTGGGACAATGCTTGGTTGTAAAATGTTGATAAACGGGTTCTTTGGGTAAAGCTTTTTAAGTTAAAAGGATGTTAAAGCATTACTTCTTATTTTACTATTGAAATCCTAATAGAACTATCTATTACACCTGTTCTAGTTAAATTGCAATCTGACGAAAAGTAGTATGGCCCTATACCTTCGTGTAATAGCACTGCACGTTAAAGGGACAGCATTCATCACTCATTGAGCACTTTGTTAGATGGTGAATGAGGTATAGAGATGTACAAGAGTTCTGCATGGTTAAGTTGAACTTTAAAGTAAAAATACGGATAAGAGGGTACATTTAAGGAGCGTTTTTATATGTCAGGCACATGATCTCATTTAATCGTGACGACGTTGGACAAAGTCATGCAGCTGTAAGATGTGGAGCGCGGTTAGAACGCAGGTTTATCTGATGTTAAAATGGTGCTTAACCACCTTCTTTCCTTGTAGTTATCTCCTTGAACGGAATTGACCTATAAGTACCCAAAGCACTGCCTTGAAGGGTCATAGATGGTCAATAAATATTTGCATTTTATTGTGTAATTGTTAGGTAGTGTTTTTTCAGGAACTGTTGGAGAGAACCGAAGGAAAACTTTCTTAACGAGGTCTTTGCAGAAATTCTTCAGTTTGGTGATTTTGTGCTGTATAAGATGCTTTAAAATCTAGAAAAGGAAATGTTTGTGCAAATGCATTCGGCTACAGACAAGACTGAGAGTTAGGCTGCCTCTGTCCAGGCATTTCTTACGTTAAATACTTTGGGGAAATTGCCTAGGACAATATTCTGTTACCTAGAATATGTTTTTAAATTTTCTTTCTTTCTTTTTTTTTTTTTTTAAAGATGACCGGTAAGGGGATCTTAACCCTTGACTTGGTGTTGTCAGCACCACACTCAGCCAGCGAGCCAACCGGCCATCCCTATACGGGATCCGAACCCGGGGCCTTGGTGTTATCAGCACCGCACTCTCCCAAGTGAGCCATGGGCCGGCCCTGTTTTTAAATTTTCCTTGGAGATCTTATCCCCCCCCCACCCCGCCCACCCCACAAAGAACTACCAAGGTTTTACTAATGAGAGTTATGTAACAGACCTTTACTCCTTTTTTACTTTGACTCCCAGGAAGCTCAGAGCCAAAAGGTCTTTGCATGATTTTATTTTCTGCTTTTGTTTGTATTTTCCCTGATCCAGACTCCGTGTTATATAGTTTATCGTCTGTATTATTGCATTTGTTCATTGTCACTGCTTCAAATCCTTTGTAGAGCACAGCAGTATATAATCAAATAAAAATAATGTAGATTATGCTGAATCTGGCTATGCTCTTTGAAGTATGCTTGATAGAACTAGTGATGTTTCACCTAATGAACCTTAGAGGAACTATATAGATTCTTGAAGTACTGATATGTGGGAAAGTGATTAGACATTTTATGAATAGTTTCCAGAGGTCAAAACAAGCATTTAGGGTAACAAGATTTTTATTTAATGGCAGGAAAGATACGTGGTGTAATAGACTGACCAGGAATTTAGGAATCAGTCAAATCTAACTCACTTTCTAATTATGTGAATTTGGGTGAATAATATTTAACCTAAGTTTACTCATCTGTAAATTGGAGAAATTATATACATAAACACAAGTTATGCATATATATATAGAGAGAGACACAAAATATCTACCTTAAAGAATCTGAGGATTTAATGAGCTGGTGTAAATAAAAATGCCTAATATTGTGCCTCACAAACAGTCCCTCAAAAAAACCTATTCATTTTATACAAATATAAAGGAATTGTTAGTTTATTTTACATAAATATGTAAATATATTAAGCTTTTAAAGTATGTAAATATATTAAGCTTTTTCTCTAATACACCCTGATTCCCCATAATGGAAGCAGTATCATCACTAGAAAAATGGCTCAGGAGGACATATTTTACTAGCAGTGGTCACATAAATTATAAAATATAAACCTTACAGAGTTATTGTGAGGATTAAGTGAGAATACATTCATATTACTTAAAACTATGTCTAGCACAAAATCTCCAAATTTTATCCTCCTATCCCCTAACCCCATCCAGATATTTTCAGTTTCTAGGGCTTCTTGACCAAAAAGGTAATGTTCATTTTTGTCCTTTATTATAGCATCATGACAGCTTTGGCTTTGTAAGGACTACATTTATCTATTCATCATGTTTGTTACAACTTGTGGACTTCTTGGCTTTGTCCTGTTGCTTTTGTTTTCCTGTTAACTGACCCCTGACTAAGTTCTTTTTCCAGTTACAGGTGACTCTGAATTTTCCAGCTGCAGAATGTGTAGTACCTTAAAAGGTAAATGAAAACTGAAACAAGTCATTTAAGCATACCAGTTGTCAAAAGAAAATTTGGCAACAGTGAGTCTCATCGAGAGACACAGTAATAGTTCCTCTTGTCAGAAGAAAAGGCAAAAACAGGAATTATAAGAGAGAGGAGAGAAAAAATATTCACCGAGAGCAGTGAATCTTAATTTATATTTTTTGTGTAAACTGATTAGCAGGCAGCAGTTGGAATTGTCATTAGTTAGTTTTAGACCATTAGCATTATAAGTTCTGAAACTCAATTTTGTCAGAATAGCTAGAGTTGATCCAACTTTTGCTTGCCAGACTGAAGTTAGTTCAGTGAGGAACTGACTATAAAGTGTTGGAAAGATTCGTGTTAACTACCTAGTTACCTAGAAAGCCATATTCATAATCTTAAAGTTGTTTGTAAGCATACAATAAAAATAAAGGGGGTAGTACTTGAGGGTTATTCGCTCCAGGCTGAAGTATCACAGACTTACCCCTATGGACTATGTCTTTCTAGTGAACAGATAATAAAATTCACCAAACCATTATTCTTTATTTGGCTGCCCCTTTTCTAAACTCTCATGTATTTACCACCCTGTTTCTGTCAGTGTAGAAACGGGTTGTTATGTAGGTTGGTTAGAGACTATTCTTTTCCTGAGATTATTTATTATTATTCTTTACAGACTATTCTTTTCCTGAGATTATTTTAGTTACTTTGATTGGATTTAGCTCTCCTCAAATCTTAGACATCTCCTACCCTCTTCACCCATTTTTCAGATAAAGAATTGAGTTAGCTACAGTGAAAACTTAATACAATAATGCATAATATATTTTTCATACTTAAGATTTTTTAAATTATACATATACGTGTATTCATTATAAGAATGTTTAATTTATTTGGCAATTGATATGAATTCATCACTTTTGAGTGATATATTGCTTTTGTTTAGGTTGGCAATGATGAGTAAACTGGAATTAAAGGAAGACAAGATGCTGGAGGTTCAATTTGTGGGAGATGATGATGTTCTTAATCACATTCTTGATAGAGAAGGAGGTACTGAATGATTATACAATTGAAGAGATGCTTATGTAATGCTTATGGATTGTTTCACTTTTGAAAATATTTTAACATTCTATTTTGAAAATATAACACAGTATTTGATCTAGAAAGGCTAAGTAAAAACTGGTCTTTTAGTTTACTTCTTTCAAATTTTAATTGAAAATTTAAAGTGATAAAGCCTTATCTAATATGAAATGCCCAGTAGTAGTGATAAATAACTGCTCATTGTAATATAAAATATGTAGTTATTTTGACCCCCCCCAAAATATACACTTTCAAGGTCGTTTGGTTTTTAAACTTAGTTATATAAACTGTGGAAGGATGGTTAGTACTTTTAATCAAAGAGAAAATATTGACTTTTTTTTCCAGGTCTTAAGTAATGACAGTGTAAGTAGTACAGTTTGTTTACTTATTTAAATGTAATGTTTAAAAAGAATTTATACCTGTCATATTCTGATTCTTTGGATGTTCTTATAGGAACTAAATTAAAGAAGGAGCGAGCTCAGCTTTTGGTCAACCCTAAAAAAATAATAAAGAAGCCGGAATATGATTTGGAGGAAGATGGCCAGGAAGTCTTAAAAGATCAGAACTATGTAGAAGTTTTGGGAAGAGATGTTCAAGGTATCTGAGGAGGGGGAAATGTATACTCATATTTCTGCTAGTAGCAGAAATTGCTTTGCAAGATACACAAAAATATTATGGTGGGTTAGATAATAGTGTGCTATATTATGTTTCTCATTGGAAAAGCATTTGATTCAAGTCTTTTTCTACAGTTCTCTCTTTTTTTTTTTTAACAAAAAACCAGTTCTGCACTTAATTATTTTTAGAAAGAAGGAATCTACAGATCAACCACTACGAAGTTACTTTTTTTTTTTTTATTTTTTTTGTCTTTTTCATGACCGGTAAGGGGATCACAAACCTTGGTGTGGTGTCACCCGCACCGCGCTCAGCCAGTGAGCGCACTGGCCACTCCCATATAGGATCCGAACCCGCGGCGGGAGCATAGCTGCGCTCCCAGTGCTGCACTCTCCCAAGTGCGCCACCCACGAGGCCGGCCCATGAAGTTACTTTTAAGATATTTATATTTTTAAGTTATTTAAAATAATTTCAGGCCGGCCTGGTGGCACACTGCTACAGTGCGCCGCTTGGGACTGTGGCGGCGCTCCCGCCGAGGGTTCAGATCCCACATACAGACCGGTTCCCGCTCACTGGCTTAAAATAATAATAATAATAATAATTTCATGAACCAAGTCACTTTGTTGTTACCTTGATCTTTAGAGAAATAGTTAGAAGGAACATTTCAGGAAGTAGTGTTGTTCCAACCTAGGTATGCTGGTATTGTAGGTTTTTTGGTTTTTTTTAACACCTAAGCCTGATGTAATCCTGCCAGATTATACATAACTTAAAACATTCTTTTGTTTTTGCGGGGAGCAGCTGGCCGATATGGGGATCCAAACCCCGTGACCTTGGTGTTATAAGGCCACACTCTTTTCAGCTGAGCTAACCAGCCAGCCCACTTAAAACATTTTTTAGGCTTGAATTATAGTTTGGTTAGGGGTTTTCTAGATATAAGGAACATGGATCCACTCAAGGAGCTTAAAAAAATAAAGATCAAGGAAAGAAATCAGTAGTTGGGCACAAGGAGCACTGGAAACATTAAAAACCGGAGAACTTTGTTCTCATGGGTCTCCTAGTCTACCTTACGTCATCTCTGTGCATCTGTTCCCCCATGCCACCTATCTCCCTCATGTACATGTTTTTTTATTCTACTTACTGTATAAATGGCCACTATTACTACTCCTCAACTTTCTCTCTTCTTAAGTCATAATGCTTCTTCTGGTTTAGTTCTCAGTGTTAAATGAGTTGGTTTTCCAGTTTCCCCATTCTAGATTCTCAAGAGTGAATTTAGCTCACCTCATCTTTTTAACCCAGGACATAGAAATAACATGTGATTAGAATATCTGCAGACAAACCACAATTGAGTTATCCGTGCCTATTACCTAGTTCATTAACTGGGATGGGAGTAGAATCATATACCCCATGTATACAGTCATACAAAAATGACTATACCTAATTTGAAACCATTTATTTTAGTTAATAGCTTTTATCAAGTCTTTCTAAATCATTTAACTTTGCATAGGAACTACTTGATATTTTTAAATTCATATTTTGTATGCTAAACATTTAAGGTATATAATTGCAGTAACAAGTTCTCTTATAAGTAGACTTGTTCACATGTAGAAACTATTTGTGCTAGAAGTAGCATTGCAGATCATTGGGCTGAATATGAACTGGTCAATAAATGGTGTTCAGACAATTAGATGTTCCTAGGAAAAGAAGAAATTGGATCCCTACCTTCCATTATAAACAAATTAATTACCTTGACTAAATATTTAAAAAGAAAAAGAAAATTATAAATGCTTTTAGAAGAAAATATAAAAGAATATGGTTTTGATCTTGATTATAAAAGGTTTCCTTATAAAATGTGTAATCAAAAGAAAAGACTGACAAATTAAACTAATTAAAATTCAGCACTTTTTAAGAGAATGAGAAGACAAGCTAGAGGCTGGGAGAAAATACTTGCAAAAGACACATTTAATAAAGGACTTTTACCCAGAATATACAAAGAACTCCTAAAACTTTACAGTAAGAATACAAACAACTCAGTTAAAAAATGGGCAAAGGACCTGAACAGACACCTCACTGAAAAAATCTACAGATGGCAAATAAGCATATGAAAAGATGCTCGACATATGTTATTAGGGAATTGCCAATTAAAACAACAATGAAATACCACTACATACTTATTAGAATAGGCAAAGTCCAAGACACTGACAGCACCAAATGCTAGCAGGGATGTGGAGCAACAGGAAGCCATTTATTGCTGGTTGGAATGCAAAATGGTACAGTCCTTTGAAAGGCAGTTTGGCAGTTTCTTAAAAAATTAAACATACTGGGCCGGCCCCGTGGTGCACTCGGGAGAGTGCAGCGCTTGGGAGCGCAGCGGCGCTCCTGCCGCGGGTTCGGATCCTATATAAGGATGGCTGGTGCGCTCACTGGCTGAGTGCTGTGCAGGCGACACCAAGCCAAGGGTTGCGATCCCCTTACCAGTCACAAAAAAAAAAGACCAAAAAAAAAAAAAAAATTAAACATACTCTTATCATACTATCCAGGAATCATGCTTCTTGGTATTTACCCAAATGAGTTGAAAACTTAAGTCTGCAGCATGTGATGTGTATAGCAGTTTTACTCATAATTGCCAGAACTTATAAGCAACAAAGACGTCCTTCAGTAGAAGAATGGATAAACAAACTGTGGTACATCCTGACCATGGAATATTATTCAGAACTTGAAAATAAAATTAAAGGGCCGAGCCCATGGCGCACTCAGGAGAGTGCGGTGCTGGGAGTGCAGCAGCGCTCCCGCCACGGGTTCGGATCCTATATAGGGATGGCCGGTGTGCTCACTGGCTGAGCGCGGTGCAGCCCGTCTCAAGAAGGACAAAAAAAATAAATTTAAAAGGGCTAGCAAGCCATGAAAAGACATGGAGGAATCTTGAATGCATGTTACTAAATGGAAGAAGCCAATCTGAAAAGGCTGTATATACTGTATGATTCCAACAATATGACATTCTGGAAAAGGCTAAACTATGCAAACAGTAAAAAGATCATTGTTTGCCAAGAGTCAAAGGGGAAGGAAGGGCAATTCTCTGGAACACAGGGTTTTTAGGGCAGCGAAACTATTTTGTATGATACTGTTATGATAGATACATGTAATCATACATTCATCAAAACCCATAGAATGTACAATCCCAAGAGTGAACCCTTGTGTAAACTGTGGGCTATAGACGACGATCTATCATTGTAGGTTCACCGTTTGTAGTACCACTCTTGTGGGATGTTAGTGGGGTAGCTATGCATTTGTGAGGGTAGAGAATATGTGGAAAATCTCTGTACCTTCCACTCAGTTTTGCTGTGAACCTAAAACTATTCTAAAAATTAAAGTTTACTTTTTTTTAAGTTAGTACTTGTCTTCAAGTGACAGAGATTGAAAAGACAAGACAACATAGAGAAGATATTTCTTCCATAAAGAAGAAACTTGTGAAAAAATGTTCAGCATCATTAGTGATTAAGGAAATGCAAATTTAAGACACCTCTCCCCATGAAATTCATTTACACTCATTGGACTGGCACAAAGATTAAGGAGTCTGGATAGTACCAAATGTTAGTACAAATATAGACCAATGGGAACTCTTACACAACACACAGAGTGAACACCTACTTTGGTAAAGTTTGGCACTATTTTGTTATAACCCCACTCATGTTAACATAAATTACATATATTTAAATGTAAAGCTACTTGTTGCCAAAACACAATTTTGGTGAGAAAGGCATTGTTTTACATTTTAGCAAATCTCTGTAATGTCTGGGTTAGTAAAAGACAACTGGGTTTTCATGTCTGCTTCACACATGCCATTAAATGACAGGGTGATGTGTCATCACATGTCATGTAGTCTCTGAAATACCTCACTGTTCACTCTTGGTTGAGAATCAAAAGTTAATATTTTAGTATTACTGTGAAATAGTTTTGGCCTCAGGGACCCGCAGACCACACTTTGAGATTCACTGTACTAGAGAGTAGGCTACTAGAAAGGAGTGTTCAGTATGTTGTAGGCAGCAACTGATATTTAAAGAGGAAATAGAAGAATGTCAATTAAGTCAAGCTTTGTTAAGACAGCTACCATATGACAGGTGTGTAAATCTCAACCTCAACAATTGTACTTTGCAATGTTTGCTTCAAGAAAGAAATGTAACTAATGAAGTGCCTTTGTCCTCCCTCCTCAGGGGCAACTACTGTTATGAATAGATCTCTCTCTAGACTTGGGTTTTGCTTTGTTTTTATATTTTTACATATATTTTTGTATATCTGTTAATAATATGTTTCGCATGTTAAAATTTACATAAGCAGTATCTATTATGTATTTTTAAATGTTTTGTATATAAATACGTATTGTTAAACTTTTATGCAAAGTAGTGAAGGGTACAAATCTTAAGATTTTAATTAAAATTTTATCTTTTTTTCCCCTGTTAATTAACTTCATCCCTTTTTCCTAAATGCACGTTGCATATTCTTTTTCAGAGTCCTTGAAAAATGGCTCTGCTGCAGATGGTGGGAATAAAGTATATTCTTTTCAGACTAGGAAACACTCGGAAAAAATGGCTAAATTAGGTATGTTGCTTTTTTGATTTCTGTAATCACTATTCACCTTTTGTGAGGTATATTTAACCACATTCCCCATGATTATCATCCCATTGCATTCCCTACAAGAATGATGAGAGATTACTAAGAGAGAATGATGAAACATTTCCCTAAATGAATGATGTCATTTTATATTAAATATACTAAAGCTCATTAATATTTTTTCATGTTCAGATGTCTTCTGTTCTTAGCCAGATTATAAGCTGCTCATAGTAGGAACCCATTCTTCATTTTTCTTTTGTTCTTCTCACGATATCTAGTTTAGGTTCTTACCAAATTTTGTGAAGTAATAAGTGATTTGAGGGTCACACAGAGATTTCAGAATTTATTGAATAAGCGTTTTACACTGTAGGGCTGGCAGGTTAGCTCAGGTGGTTAGAATGAGATGTTATAACACCAAAGTCAAGGGTTCAGACCCTCATAACAGCCAGCTGCCCCCAAAAAAGTTTTACACTGTATGTAGAAAAATGTTTGTATTATAGAAAACTGTTCACATAAAATTGTTAGGAATGGTCTGTTCTAACATTTTTCTTAACTAAGTTACCACCTGTACCAATTAGAGTTCAATTGCTGATTTTCCGACATTGGAAAATCAGGAAAATCCTAGGAAAATAGAGCAGGACGAAGAACAATGGTGAAACTAGACTAATAAATTACATATAAAATTAAAATTAATGTGGTCAATTTAATTCTCTAAAAAAATTCAGATGGAATTGTATTTGTATTTTGTAGTATGAAGGGTCATCATTTTTGAAAGCCTTAAGAAAAGGAAATAATATGTGAAAGCACTTTGAAAATTAAGATGGTCTATAAGTATATAAAAGTTCAGGAATATCAAAAAGTCAAGAGCATGAGAATAATAATTAACCATGTGGTAAAATATAATAGATGTATAAGAGAGCTTATAATCTATAATTATAAAACATCTATGTATATTCTTAAGTGGTGTATTTTCATTGAATCTAGCCAGTGACCTATGTAAACATTCAAAGTCAAGTGAAAAATCACACTTAAGTGTTAACACTGATGAGGGATATAAAGGAAATAATTATAAAACCCGTGTTTCTGAACATAATATGATTTAATCACTTACCAAATTCAGTTTTTCTGAAACATGTAACATTAAACACATCACTAATTTTGAATATAACTTAATACATACAGTAATTTACATTAATTGATGTGTTTCTTAGTGTTTATTATTTACATCAGGAAATTAAAAGTTTAGGACTGGCAAATTTGCTCAGTTGGTTAGAGTGTGATGTTGTAACACCCAGGTCAAGGACTCAGATCCCCATACTAGCCAGCTGCCAAAAAAAAAAATTAATAAATAAACGTTTTTAGGTCTGTAAAAATGACTGAACCCTGTGTAGGAGCACTGAGAAACCAGAGAAGAAATGCTAATATAATTATTGGAGAAAACATCAGATAGACACGAAAACCAAAGGAAATCCTAGAAGAATAGAACAGGACAAAGAACATTGGAGAAAGAAGAGAAATATTAGTGCAAAGGAGAGTGGAACTCACAAGAGTAATCAAGTAGAATTTCTCCCCGTGGTTAATCAATGTGCGCTTAACTTAATGTGTTTTATCTGCGAACACTGCAAAAAACTAGAATATTGTCCTCATGTTCTGCATTTCTGTCATCATGTCTGTAAAAAATATACATTTTAGAGTCATGAACAAATTCTGATTATTTAGTCTTTGTTATGACTATGAAGTTTCAGGAGCACAATTTGGTAGACTGATATGTTTAGTTAGGGCCTATGCTTAATTATTATACCCTTTAAAGAGTTTCTTTTACTCATTAAGTATTGTTGCTAATTTTGTTTACACCTAAATATATCAGTAAAATAGAATACCTTAATGTTTTATAAATAACATTATCTTTCAGAAAATCATATATTACTCTGAGTATAAACGATGATTTCATATAATTAGGCTAACCAAAATATAAGGTTAGAAATAGACTAGGGGTTTAATTGGAAGTTTTTGTAAAGTACAGAGAATATGTCCAGGGTAAGAAAAAAAATGTAATCAAAAGAGCAATGGGGGCCGAACCCGTGTCTCACTCAGGAGAGTGCGGCGCTGGGAGCTCCAAGGCCACAGGTTCGGATCCTATATAGGCATGGCCGGTGCGCTCACTGGCTGAGCGCGGTGTGCGGATGACAGCAAGCCAAGGGTTCCGATCCCCTTACCGGTCACACACAAAAAAAGAGCAACGGCACAAGTATCAAGTAGCAAGAACAGCAAGGAATTCAACCAGCTTGGAAAAAGGGAAGACTTTAGGAAAAGTAAAAATAGTTTGAGATCCAGCAATCCCACTACTGGGTATACATCCAAAGGAAATGAAACTAGAATGTTGAAGAGATATCTGCAGTCCCATATTCATTGTAACATTATTCACAATAGCCAAGATAAGGAATCAACCTAAGTGTCCACCAAAAGATGAATGGGTAAAGAAAAAGGTATATATACACAATGGAATACTATTCAGCCTTAAGAAGGAAGGAAATCCTGTCATTTGTGACAACATGGATGAACCTAGAAGATACTATGTTAAATGAAATTAGCCAGGCACAGAAAGACAAGTAATGCATGATCTTACTTATATGTAGAACCTGAAAAGTCAAACTCACAGAAGCAGAGAGTGTAATGGTGGTTACCAGAGGCTGGGGTTGGGGGTAATGGGGAGCTGTTGGTCAAACGATACAAAATTTGTTAGACAAGAGGTGTAAGTTCTAGAGGTCTATTGAACAACAGAGTGGCTACACTTAATTAACAGTGTATTGTATACATGAAGATTGCTAAGAGAGTAGATTTTAAGTGTTCTCAAGTAAATGATAGAATATGAGGTTAAATAAATAAAATATCCTCAATAAAAAAAAGGAAAATAGATTGATTAGGACCAGATATTAGACTAATGAGAAGCTATTATTAGGCAAAGAGGACTTTTATTTTGAAATTTTCAATATGTTATGGACTGGTTTATTGCATAAAATGAAATACAGATGAATTATTAGAAAAATGAAGAAAGACACAAAATATCTGTGTTAATTTTTTGTTATTAGAGTCAATGGTCATACAATTACATTTTCAGTTAATATCATCAGGACAAATGTAACATAGGAACAATAAAAGAATTATGAAAACTACATGTTTATTGAAAGCACATATACTGTGCTTATATGAGGAGTCTTCAAAAAGTTCATGGAAAGATTTCTATTATCTTTTAATTCTATTTTTCCACAAACTTTTTGAAGTGCCTTCTTAGATGATAAATATAGAGCAGAGGTCAGCAGACTTTCTGTAAAAAGCCGACAGTAAATATTTTCAGCTCTGTGGGCTAGACAGTCTCTGTTGTGACACCCCAAATTTGCTGTTAGAACTCAAAAGCAGCCACAGACAATAGGTGTGGCCATGTTCCAATAAAACTTAAAACAAGTGCAAGGCCCAATTTGGCCCGTAGGCTTATAGCTTGCTGACCCCTCACATACAGAATCACTATTTGTGACTTTATGTCATTCATAGTTGTAACAAAACAAAAATTTATGTGTTAAATAGTGATTCACTGTATTAAATGATTGTACACACACTTTGAGCAAACATTTTGTGTATCAGTATTTAAAGTTTTAAATTTGACAAATGAGCTTATTTCTTGCTTAGATATGTATATCTAAACTTTGTTTTAATAACATTCACAGAAGAAAAAACAGCCTTACAGAAGTATATTGACAAATATAGAGATTTTAAGCAATATCAACAAACTTAAGATATGCATTTTTTACTAATTCAAAATGATGTGATGATGTAGTCTCAAAGTTCATCTTTAATCCTTCACCAGAAGCCAGTTCTAAAAATATATCCTATAAAGTTATAGTTAAATTGAAATTATCTTTTGGCAAATGTATTAGTCCATTTTTGTTTTGCTTATAACAGAATACCTGAACTGGGTAATTTATAAAGAAAAGAGGTTTATTGGGCTCACGATTTGGGGACAGCTGCATGTGGTATGGGCATCAGGCTGCTTCTACTCATGGCAGAAAGCAGCAGGTACCAACTGATCACATGGCAAGAGGAGGCAAGAGGAAGCAAGAGAGAGAGGGAGAGGAGGTGCTAGGGTCTTTGAAATAATGAGCTGTCATGGGAACTAATAGAGCGAGAACTCACTCACTACCCCTGCCCCCAGGGGAGAGGCATTAATCCCTTCATGAGGGATCTTCCCCCATGACTCAAACAGCTCCCAACACTGCCACACTGGGGATCAGATTTCTTTCTTTTCTTTCTTTTTTTTTTTTTTTAAAAGATGACCGGTAAGGGGATCTTAACCCTTGACTTGGTATTGTCAGCACCATGCTCACCCAGTGAGCAAACCGGCCATCCCTATATGGGATCCGAACCCGTGGCCTTGGTGTTATCAGCACCGCACTCTCCCAAGTGAGCCACAGGCCGGCCCTGGGGATCAGATTTCTACATGAGTTTCAGAGGACAGTAACATCCAAACTCTTTCAGTAAACAAATGAATTCCAGATTTTATACACTTTTGGATTGAGGTCCACAAATTAACCTTGAAATATACCATGCTGTAGTACGTCCTGTTGTGTATAACTAGTACACAACTCAAGGAGAATGTGACTCTCACATGAGTTTAACAACACTCAGACTGTTCCCCTGTTCAACAAGATGTATTCATGAGGTTAAATATTGCAGTAATATTAAACAACTATAAAAGTCTTTAAATATTCTTCATTTCTTATCATGAGCCAGTAACACTTTATGGACTGACACTAGCCTTTGGACTATATATTTTGAGAAGTATTGTTATATAGGATGGCTTGGCATAAGGTAATTAGGAAAGCATCATCATAGTATTATTTTATTTTGGCCCTACACCAAAGATTTAGAAATGGAATGAAGAGTATTCATTTTAATTGTGAAAAAGATACTGAAAAAAATAACAGCATAAGGGA